TAGTTATCGTGCGTATCATGCGATTTACAGACAAATGGACGGACGGACATCGCTAAATCGACTCCAATGTCCTGAAATGGATGTGGACCTAGGGTCAAAAACCGTTATTTCGATGAGGCACGTTTTTGGTCGTATCAAATGATATATTCCCTCTGTAGCCATATGGGTATAAATATTCAAAATAAATTTTCACTTCGATTGGTATTGATTTTAAACATTTTTATTGAAAAATGGTAAGTATTACCATGTTCGAATATTATTATTATTATATTTTTTTAGTCATTAGAAAGCTAATTTAGGTTTTTTATCAGAATCATATGGTTAATTATAATTATGGGTTAGATAATGAATAATTTACGTTTCTGTTTGGGATTATTGATATTGATTCATGAGAATTTTGAACTCTATTTTTGTCACGTGCCGCAATAAATGATAAAGAAATAAAAAAATGCATGGATCGCCAGTCATTGAAATACGACTGCCAATACGAGGCGTTCTAATTAAATTTTCAAGTTTTTGGATTTGTTCCTAAGAAATCGTTGACATTTTTGTTTCATTATGAAGAATTTTTCATTTAACGGTAATAGAATATTCGAATTATTTAACTGCTCCCCCCGACAATCACTTAAATGAGTTATTTTCTATTCCCAAACGGGGATGTCTTTTTTCGCAAAGCTCTCAAATAAAAAAAAAAATCATTTTTTTTTGCAATTATTAAAAAAAAAACACAAAATTAAGTTTTTCTGCAACTAATGCAAAGCTCATCAATCTTCTGTCTACAAACTAAATTATAAAAAAGTTAGCAATTATCTCTACTATCAACGGTCAACTTCTGTTAATAACTCCTGGTTCCGCATTGCGCTCTTCTTTGTGATCGAAATACAAAAATGATGGCTAACAGTTTTGATCGTCTAGAGAGGAGGAATTGGTTTCAACACGAGGTGTGTGTGTGTGTGGGTCTGAAGGAACATCATCATCACAAAATTTATTGATTATTGATTGCCTCCCCAAAAATAAAAGAACACTCAATTACAACAACAATAACATAAAAAATCAATCAACGATTTTTTTTTTTTCAATTTTCATATTTGGCAAATTGCAAACAATGGTCCTAATAATCAAATAACTCAAAAAAAATCACAACAAATACAACAATGTGTTGTGTTAAATATTTATAAATATTATTAATTTTTATTGTCGGATATTTTGCTTCTTCATCATCATCGCCATCTTCTGTTGAATTTTTTTTTGTTTTTTTTTGGTTTTTGTTGTTGACTTATTATTTAGCCAACAAATGGACATTTTATTTAAATAATCATCAATTTATGGAGATGATTTTTTGCCATAAAAAACGTTTCAAATAAATGCTTTAAATCAATCTGTGTAAATTGATGCTGCAACGGATGGATGGATGAAGTAGCTGGCTGGCTGGCTGGTTGGTTGACTGCCCGACTGGTTAACAAGTGTTTTGTGAAATGCATGTAAATCGTTTTTTAATCATCAAATATTATTAATGGATTTCGGAAACGTTTGCATTTCAAATTGTCAGAAATTACTATTAATGTTATTATAAATATTAATATTATAATAACTATTATTATATTAGTTATTAATATTAATATTTTATTTATAATTTCCGGCAATTAGGAATGCAACGCGATCCCAAAATCTATTTTATATAATTATAAAAAAAAATTATTATAATTATTATTTTTGCTATCATTATTATTATAATTACTATTTTATAGGATTTTATTAAATTTATTCAAAAGGTAGAATATTGTATTTTATATAGATAGATAGATAGATAGATAGATAGATAGATAGATAGATAGATAGATAGATAGAATAACTTTCAGAAACCTTCTATAAAAAAGAAGATATTTAAATGTTGTTGTTATTTAAATTTGAGACGCTAAGGAGAATTTACATTTAAAGATTCTTAATAAATAGAAGAACTTTTAAGGGCTATGTTATTTTTATTGGAAATACAATTTTTCTTAGAAAATTTACAGTCACTTTGACGACAGCTGTATACCCTTAAAAATTTTAAGTAAAAATGGGAATTTATGTATTATCACTGAAAAACTTTAAAATCTAAGAATTGCTGACAAAATATTCTTAAAAAAATCCCCTGATTTTTTTTTAAAAAATACGATTTTAGGTCAAGATGTCCTTGAAACGCGATTTTTGATTAGAAAATCCTTTAAACATCTTTCATCCATATCAGGGATTCTAAAAAAATTGCATTTAAGAAAATCCACGATTTTTGATCAGAAGGTTTCTCGAGACCTTTTTTTTTAAAAAGAACTGCGATAATGTCCAAGAAACTGTTAGAAACTATGGGGTACGATAAAAAACTGCAACAAAGTCAAACGCCATAATTTTACATTCATTTTAAGTTTTATTGAACGAAAGCAAAAAATGTCGGAAATAGCATCACATTTTAGAATAAGTTTAGATTTGTTAGAATTGGTCACCTTTGGCACGATTTATGACCTTTAAAAGGGCAAATGAAACCGTCACACGCTTCCCGAATGTTGCTCTGCGGTATTTTGGCCCATTCCCGGCGAAGCGCTTGATTCAGGTGATCGACACTTTTGTATTTTTTAATGCCAACCTTGATTTCCAAAATACTCCAGACATAATAGTCCAACGGATTGGTATCCGGAGACTTTGGTGGCCATTGTGCGCTGGAAATGAAGCGAGGAACCTCATTTTGTAACCATTCTTGGGTGGCGCGTGCTGAGTGCAATGGTATTGAGACCTATTGGAATGTCCAAAGTCTGCGGCCAAAATGTTTGCGTGCCCAGGGCTTTAATACACCCTCCAGAATATTTTCACGATAATATTTTCTTCAGTTCACCACTTTCGGCCAAGTGAAGCAACTCTTTAACTCTTTTGAGTATTTTCTTTCTGTTTCTGTTGCGGTGTAAGTTCTTACACATTTTGGAATTTCAATGGCTTTACCCCGAGCTAATTTTTCAATATTTGCCGAATGGAATATTGTGATATGTTCAGCTCACGAGCCATTTTTAATTTTCAGCGGGTTTCGATCAAGTCGCTTCTTTACTTTTCAAAACATTTCATTTCTTCCGTTCATTTACTTGACATCGGGCTACGCTACCAGTATCACGGTAACGAGCGATTGTACGAGACACAAAAGATTTATTCACATTTAAATGCTGGAGTGCTCTAACGATAGCCACTTGTGGTTTTCCAGCCAAATATAAAGAAATCACACTATCACGCTTGTACTCCATCACAAATAACTTATTTTCTGGAAAATTCTCACCAGAATGCTTTTGTACGCTTTTAAAAAATATAATGAGCCGTCACTGGAATAATTTTAACAGCTGTCGGACGAGTGGCTTAGAAATGACAGCAGTCTGAAGTTGGTTGGAGTTTTTTCATCTCACCCTGTAAAGACTACTCCTTAAAATTTTAAGATTTGCGTTCAGAATAATATTGACATTTACCCACAAAATTTAAATGTTCTGGAAGGTGCATTAAGAATATTTGAAACTTTTCGATTTTCGTGATTTTTTTTCTAAAAATATTCAGGAGTTTGGTTCTTCTTAAAATATTGTTAGAAATCTACGACTTATGCTTATGTGGTCCGTGAAAATATTTCCTAAAAAATCGCCGTTTACGTTCAGAATGTTCACAATTGATATGAGAACATTTAATCAAGGTCCTTCATCCTTCTAAAAAATCCAAGATTTTCTGTTTGAAGTTCCTGGAATTTACTTTTTTTTATAATTCCCGATTTATGTCCATGAAGAGTTGTAAGAATACTCTTAAAAAATCCACAATTTCGAAAAGGATATCCCATTATATCCAGAAGATCCTTTAAAAGCTATTAAAACCTATAGAAACTCCAATAGATATTCTCTTCTGGTCGCCTATAAAGAATTCCCTTCTCGTTCTCTGTAGATTCTGACTTCTGGTCGTTTATAGAAACTGCCTTCAGGTCGTCTATAGAAACTGCACTTCTGGTCGTCTATAGAGACTTCATTCTGGTCGTCTATAAATATACCCTTCTGGGCATCTTCTATAGAGACTCTCTTATTGTCGTCTATAGATACCCCTTCTGCTCGTCTATAGACATCCCTTCTGCTCGTCTATAGAGACTCCCTTCTACTCGTCTATAGAGACTCCCTTCTGCTCGTCTATAGAGACTCCCTTCTACTCGTCTATAGAGACTCCCTTCTGCTCGTCTATAGAGACTCCCTTCTGCTCGTCTATAGAGACTCCCTTCTGCTCGTCTATATAGAGAGTCCCTTCTGGTCGCCTATAGAGACTCCCTTCTGGTCGTATATAGAGACTCCCTTCTGGTCGTCTATAGAGACTCCCTTCTGGTCGCCTATAGAGACTCCCTTCTGGTCGTCTATAGAGACTCCCTTCTGGTCGTCTATAGAGACTCCCTTCTGGTCGTCTATAGAGACTCCCTTCTGGTCGTCTATAGAGACTCCCTTCTGGTCGTCTATAGAGACTCCCTTTTGGTCATCGTCTATAGAGACTCCCTTTTGGTCATCTTTTATAGAGAGTCCCTTCTAGTCGTCTGAAGAGACTCCCTTCTGGTCGTCTAAAGAGACTCCCTTCCGGTCTATAGAGCCTCCCTTTTGGTCATCGTCTATAGAGTCTCCCTTTTGGTCATCTTCTATGGAGACTCCCTTCTGGTCGTCTATAGAGACTTCCTTCTGGTCGCCTATAGAGACTGCCTTCTGGTCGTCTATAGAGACCTTCCTCCTTGTGGTCGTCTGTAGTCTCACTTCTAGTGGTCCATAGATACACCCTTCTGATCGTCTATAGATACTCCGTTCTTCTGTAGAAACTCCCCTTTGGAAGTCATAATTTTCTGGAGGTTGAAGACTATTTTTCAGGTTTTAGAAAATCGCCAATCTCTTTTATGAAAAATTAATTTAATGCTTTTTTGATCAACTTTTTCATCAACTTTATCTTTCTTCTTTTCATTTTTAGATAACTCACATTGATCCAACATTACCGGAAGCAACCAGCCCCTTACACCTGTTGCTCTACTCTCGGGAAATAAAAATTTCACTGGAAATTCCAACAAAAATGAAGGCCCCCAAAAAAATCTCCTCACATTGATAAACGAAAATCGCCAAAACGAAAAGATGAGCGTTAGAAAGCAAAAGCCAAACAATAATGGATGAGTAATCCCACAATGTTTACATTGAACCTGGACGCCAAAACGTTGATGCTGGCGACGAAGAAGACGCTGACAACAAATAGGAGTAACAACCGCAACAACAAAACAAGGGTAAAAATTGTGACAAAATCGACGCAATTACGAAGAAGTAGAACAACAGCTGCCTTAGCCACCCATCATTCTTCGTTGAGAGGAATTTATGGTTACCCAAATTTCGTAGTAGCCGAACCCGCAGCAGCAGCAGAGAAACAGACACTTGCCAGCCACATAACTTGCCAATATTGTTATGATCGTCGATGATACAACTTAACCCGAAATTAACAAAAACAACAGCAGCTAACCCTATTAAATCGATCACAACATTGCGAACTGTAAACAAGCGAAACAGGCAGCTAAAGCGAAACAAGCAAAACGAACTCCTCGGGGTCTCATTTGTGTGAAATTGGATATTTTGTGTGAATGTCATTTACTTGGTGGCGGAGAGACCGCAACAACAACAAATACTATGCAATAACAACAACCACAAAACAAATAAATCCAATAACAACACAACCAAAATAAAAACAATTAGCCAACATTTCCAATAAAGATGTTCCAATTGCTGCAACAATTCTCCAACGACTCCACAACAGACCTGCAGACCAAAAACTTCCCTCAACTAAATTGAATTGAAAGGCAAAGACGTTACGCCTATCTTTTTCGATTCTACTTTTTGGCAAAATAAAACATCATTCTTCTTCTTTTTAACTTAAACCTTTTCCACCCAACCCTGATTGCAGTGTTCCAACATCCAGCAAAATGTTGCAAAATTCCAGCACCCCAAGCGGAGCCACAGCCGCCACAACGCCGACAACGTCTGGCCAACAGTCGCAGCAACAAATGCCACAACCCAAACTTGTTGTTATCCGACGACGACCCAATCAAGGTTTCGGTTTTACGCTACGTCATTTTATTGCTTATCCACCGGAAGATGATCCCTCTTGGCCACAGGTAAGGAGAAACCACCAACCGCACAGTTGGTTCACAGAAATAAAAGCAAAAAATTAAAAAAACAAAATCACAACAACATTGGCCCGAACTAATAAACAAGCATTTAAGTCGTAAACAAAATAACTGTTAATATATATTTTTTCTCTCGTTGCTGTTGTTGTTGTTGCTTTTATACACATTAAACGACATCATACAGCAAACATGTCATATCGTCGTTGTATGTACAGCGATTGGGGTATGGGTTTTGCATAAACAGTGTTGCCAATCTCTTATGTGGGATTAGGGGATTTCTGGCGATTTTTCAAAAAAAAAAAAAAAAGGAAAACCGTTTAAAGAAACTAAAAAAAAAATAAAATTGATAGGTCTTGAAAAACTATTTTTTAGAAACTTTTTTATTTTCGAAATCTCGAAAAAAGTCGTAAAATTAATGATCGCTTTCTTCAAGATCCTCAAAAAAATCCTCGTTTCGCAGAAAAAGCTCAGTAGATTACGGAAGTAGAGCTAAAAGTAGAAGACGTTTTTAAAGTTTATAGTCAAAGTCACCTAAAAACCAGTAAAGAAAGTCTTAAAGTCGGGCGGGGCCGACCTACAAACATACAATTTTCTGCCTTAGGCTGCAGTATCCATTACGAACTTTAAATACCAAATTTTCAACACTTCTTGTGAATAGTTCCGCTAAAATCCTCAAAATACCGAATATCGGGAGATACCGTTATATGGGGGCTATACGTGAACCTACAGACTTGAATCTACATACGCAATTTGCTGTCATAGGCTGCAATACCCATTGCGAACTTTAAATGTCAAATTTGATATCATCAAAATACCGAAAAAATGAGATACCGTTATAGCGGAGTCTACCCCTGCCTACTTCGAAAATACACATGTGTGCAAAGTTTTAGCCCTCTATCTTAATTTGTTTGAAATATAGCGTGATTTCAACAGGCAGAAAGACATCGGCAAATCTACTTAGAATTTTACGCTGATCAAAGGGAGTTACAAATGGAATGACAAGGTTAATACATCCTCCATAGAATGGTGGAGGTATAAAAACACATTTTAGGGGAAAGTCGTACTTCAAGTGAGTTTTTGCAAAATACCTTTACGGTCAAAACGTGCCTAGTCGAAATAACGCTGTTAGACCCTAGGTCTCTTTGGACCAAATCCGTTTCAGGACATTTGGAGTCGATCTAGCGATGTCCGTCCATCCGTCTGTCTGGCTGGTTCGCATGATAACTCTCGAAGAGAGTATCCGATGTTATCCAAACTTGGTAAATCATAATATTATTGTCAAACTTAGATCGAGTTCGGAGATTGCCAATATCGGCCCACTCCTTCTGGTACCTCCCCCAAAAATTATCACAAATAAATTTTACTGCTTAGAAAGATAAATAATAACCTGATTTTGCTCCAACTTTGCTAATTCTAATATTTGCATCAGTGCCAAGTCAGGTGCGAAAATGGACAATATCGGTCACTCCATCAAGTACCACCCCCACAAAGGGTCAAAATTTTTAATAATTATAACTTTTATAAAATATGATTTATGTGTCCGATTGTCTTCAAATTATACGCATTACAATATTTTTATAACCCAAGGTCTGGTGTGAAAATGGGATATATCGGGTTACTCCTTATGGTACATCCCCCGCAAAGGAACCAAATTTTTAATATCCATGAAGTTGATAAAACACGAAATTAACATCAGATTCAATTCTGCACATTGGCACATCTCAATATTTCCATAAATATAAGATCTGTTATAAATATGTTAGAGATCGGACCATTTCTCCTGGTGAATAGTCAAAACAATCATAAAATCCGAAATAAACATACTGTTCTCTTCAAATTACACACATCACAATATTTTTATTAAGCCAAGGTCTGGTGTGAACATGGGATCGACTCCTTCTGGTACCTCCCCACAAAGGTTCAAAATGTTGAATATCCATGAAGTTCATAAAACACGAAATTAACATCCGATTCCTGTCAGACTTGACACATCTTAATATTTCCATCAATACAAGATCTGTTATAAAGATGATAGAGATCGAACTATTTCTTCAGGTAAGTCCCCCACATAGGGTTCAATATTTTTTAAAATCAAAACCCTCAAAGAACGCGGAATAATCATCCTGATCTATCCATCCATCTCCTCAAATATCCCACATACAAACATTTTTGGTAACACAAGATCTGTTGTAAAGATGATATACATCTGCCAATCCCTTCTGGTACCTCACCTACAAAGGGTCACAATTTTCAATACTTTTATCTGTCATAACTTGCGAAACAAGTCGGTAATTCTTTATAACTTGCTATATCTAAATATTTCTCTTAACCAGAAGTCTGATATGAATATGGAATTTATCGAAATTTATGATTTCGTATAAAATTGAATATAAATTTTCGATTCCTTCATATTTTTCCCAGACCAATATTTTTCTCTATATTAGATGAAGTATTAAAATGGAATACTTTGGTCCGCTATATCTGTTACCTCGCGCATATTTCCACATTTTCTAAATAATTTGCGCAAGCACAGGAAGTTGTTGACATAGTCCAAATCTGTGACGTTGTAATATTTATATCAGTCTTAGGTCAGATACGAATTTGTCAATATTTGCCAACTGCTTCGGAACCTCTCACATATAGAGTAAACAGTTTGAATAATCATAGGTCGAGGTCGGCAAAAGCCAACTGATACTATTTTACTTGTTCTTGTGAATTTTCACTCGATTTTTTTTCGAGTCGATATAAAACAAAAACATAACATTTCCTTGTAGCCAGAACTGTAGGAGCCAATAGTGAGACATCCATAGGCAATTTCAGAATTCCAGCCCTTTCCCTTCACCCAGTACCAAATTTAGCAGCATTTAGTTCTCCACCACTTATCTCAACTTCAGACACCAACAATGACTTTAATGTCAAATTTCAGATTTTTAGCTCTGTAATTCCGCTATTACGAAATTTAGTATAATTAATGTAGGAATATCCAAAACTATGATCCAGCTCCTTTCAACCACAGATATCTACAGTGACATCCATATCCAATTTCAGGATTCCAGATCTATTCCAATTTAGTACCACTAGTACCAAAACCACTCCCATCAAAATTAGTACCTTTCGTACAATTATAGTACATATTTACATTGGTGACTCGCTTGAGCGTTACGTTTTGGACTGAATTAATACTCGCACCGTCAACCGTCCTATATACCATAAATTCAAGGGTTTTAGGAAATCTTATTCTGAAAATTTCAAAATGTGTCGGAGAGGGGGAACGACGAACGTATCCCTTCCACTTAAGTTACTTTGTGATGTAAACTTTCAAAAAGCCCATAAACGTGTTTTCTATGTTTGGTTCTACTTTCATAATTTACCAATTTTTATACCCTCCACCTTGGAAAGGAGGGTATATTAACTTTGTCATTCCGTTTTTAACATCCTTAAATATTCGTCGTAGACCCCATAAAGTATATACAGGGTTGAGATGTCACATCGCTTAATGACATAACGCGTTTGAAGCGTCAGTCCAAGCACATTTTTACCATGAACCAATACACGCCACGCGAGCGCTCTGAAATATTTGAAATTTTCATTCAACAGAAGAAGTCAATTGTGAAAAAAAATGTGAGAAGTGCGCCTTCTAAGAACACCATTAAGCGTTTATACGAAAAATTTTTGACTGGTAAGGCTCTTTCTAATCCGAAGAGGCCATATAAAAGTCGACCAAGGCGATCGGCCGAGAATATCGCTGCCGTACGAGCCAGTGATGAGAGGTCCCCAAGAACATCCCAAAAACGCCGTTCTCAGCAGTTGGGCATGGCTCGGTCCACTTTACAACGGATTATTCGCATTGATTTGCATTTGTTCCCGTACAAAATTCAAATGACGCAAAGAATGCTGCCTGTGGACAAGCCTCGTCGATTGGAATGGGCCCAAAAAAACATGGGTCCGTCGAATATGGGGCAACCCTGTATATTCATAATCAGCATAAAATTCTAAGTCGATTTAATATGTCCGTCTGTCTTTCTGTTGAAATCAAGATACAGCCCACATTATTTGACGTAGAGCGCCAAAATTTAGCAGAGCAATTTGTATTGTGTCTAGGATGGTTGGTATTGAAAATGAGATATATCGGTCCACGTTCTGGTATAGTCTCCATATAACGGTACCTCCCGATATTCGGTATTTTGATGATTTATGCCACATTTTTTCACGGATTTGTCTGAAAATTGGTATTTGTAGGTCATAATGGGTCCCTGTGCGTGTGGCAAAACATTGCATGTATAGGTCCACGTTTTGGTATAGCCCCCATATAAAGGTACCTCCCGATATTTGGTATTTTGATGATTTTTGACACATTTTTTCACGGATTTGTCTAAAAATTTGTATTTCTTCGTCATAATGTGTTCCAGCTCTTGTGGCGAAACATTGCATGTATAGGTCCACGTTTTGATATAGTCCCCATATAACGGTACCTCCCAATATTCGGTAATTTGATGATTTTTGACAAATTTTTTCAAGAATTTCTCGGCTCGGCCGAACTTAATTTTTTTACTTGTTTAAAAACTGTTTAGTCTGGCTGTCATTAAAAAAAAATATTTTTTTAGTCTGTTGGCCCTTGAAAAAATATTCTTAAAAAAATGGAAAATGTTAAAAAAATATGTATATATTTTTGTTCCCAAATAAAAACCGCCGCATTGTCATCACAGTTTCATGTCATCACCATTACCTCGGTGGCACGTAGCAAATTAGCAAAGCAGTTTCAACTGAAAACACAAAAACAGAAACGTTACTCTTTATTTTAATTTCATATAAAATCACCTTAGTTAGCATTTTTAATAATTTTCATTAACTCTTTTGATGAGACGTTGCTTGAAGTTGATAATGGAGTTTAGTTGTTTTTTTTTTTTTTTTAATTTTTTGCATTTCGTTGTGCTTTCATATCCATTATCCGTTCGGTTTTTTTTATAATTTTTATTAATATTATTATT